AATCTGCTTCTGATTTAGCATAGTCTCATTGTTAAAATAATAATTCTGGGGCAGGTCAAGCCATTTTGATCATCAGATCTGGAATATGAATTTAGAAAATCATGCACTTAGGATTCTGTAATCCTAATGAGGTTTCATTATTTAACTTGATGATTTAATTTTTTTTTTAATCTAACCTAATTTTTCTTTCTCCTTTTTGTCTTTTCCCTCTGAAAACCTTCATACTGTTCATCTGGAAGTCAATTGGCCAATGAAGAAAAGCTGAATGTCCTACACCTGTTTGGTTACTAGATACATGAATTTTACTGCTTTCTTGCGCTCCATCTTCCAAGTCGAAAACATACAAAATAATCTAATTGCTCTGATAGTAACACCCTAGATTTCAGAGAGAAAACCTGCCCTGGGCCTTGGTGCTCTGCAGTTATAAGACTCAGTCACAAGGGATGGACACTAGAAACTAAGAAAATATGAAAAGTAAGGCTAGGCATGGCGGTGCACATGAGTAATCCCAGCATTCGAGAGGCTGAGACAGGATGATTGCTGCAAGTTTGAGGCCAGCCTGAAATACACACTAAACTCAAGGCCATTCTGAACCTCGTGAGATCCTCCCTTAAAAAAAAGAAAAAAGAAAGAAAGAGAAAAAAAGGCCTCTACAATTCTCTTTTTCTTTATTCCTACCAGTTTACCTGCTTCACTCCATCATATGCAGTGCATTCAATTTTTTGGTACTTTTTGTTGTTGTTGTTGTTTTCCCCATACAAAGGATCAAACTTCAGGGCCTCACACACGCTAAGCAAACATTCTATCACTAAGCTACATCCTCAGTCCCTCGATGAACTCATTTTTAAGATGACTATGCATCTTTATGATGGATAGTATCTGCCCTGCCCAATACTCTCCCAATATGTACCATGTTAGTAATTATTCCATATGGGACTGGGGATTTAGCTCAGTGGCATAAGTGCCTGCCTGGCAAATGTGAGGTCGTGAGTTCAATCCTCGGTACCAAATATATATATATATATATATATATATATATATATATATATAATTCCATATGGATCTTTCACCTCTCTCATCCTATTGTTCAACATTTGTTGAATGACACTGTTTATATTTCTTGTAGAAAGCTCTATAATACTTTATATTCATGAGAAGTGGCCTATAAATTACTTACCATTCACTGGTGTGACAAGTTTAAAATGTCCCACGGAAAGTTCTTTTGGGATGAGAAGTCAGCAGAATTGTGCCCTAGTCTTGGTTCTAGTCCTGTGTAAACTTAGATAAGCTTAGGATCTCCTGTAAAATGAGAAGATTGGGCCAGATGATCCTTAGAGCTCTTAAACAAATCTAAATTTAGGACACTAAAATGTTTTGATATTTTATTTGAGGTTATCTTGATGAGAGATACATCTGACTTTCTATCTAAGTTTATTTTTTTTCCATGACAGAATGGGCTCATGAAAGACTGTTTGGAAATTTAGAAAAGTAGAAAGAAAACAGGAAAAAAAAGAAAGAAAGAAAGAAAGAAAGAAAGAAAGAAAGAAAGAAAACAGAGGAATTCACAGAGCCACCACTCTGAAGAGACAATCATTGATCTATCTTCCTCTTTCCACCAGCAACCCAATATCCACCACTTCCATAGTTAAGACCGTTCTCAGGCAAACATAAAAGATGCATCAGGTTTGTGTATTTGGATTCCAGTTGCTTACTGAAGGACTGCCTTTACTTAGTTACTTAGGGTTGCCTGTCTCATGGAGACTTAATATTCTAAGAGGTTAACTGATCACAGTCACCACTTGGATAAAAGAGTCTTCTACATTCCCATGTTACAGGATGACAACATCATCTACTTACTACCAACCTGAAGCTACAAATCAAGCAGCTAAAGCCAACAGCCTAACTGCGTGACCAGGAAAGGGATGAGCAAGCTTGAAAACCAAACTCTAGTTTCTTTACTTTGGAAGACAGATGCTTCCAGAGGTTGAAGGTATTCCAATAACAAGTAGCTATTCCTTATATGCTGTATGTCCAATATAACTATCATCATCATAACAAATATCAGTGGGAGAAATTTGGTTTTCCTCCAGGTTCCTCTGTACCAGGTTCCCTAGAACAGAAAACATAACCAAACTGTATCACTGTGACTGAATTTCCTCTGTGAAAAAGTTGCATACGCAAACAGAGGTGCACAGAAAAGTGTGACATCCCATGCCTTTTAGGTAAGGAGAGAGCACCAGTTTTAATGATCTAGTTGATCTATCCCTCACTCTAGCCCCTACCAGCCAAAGAACAGGAAGGTATCATGAGGACAGTCACAGTAATCCATGATCCCACTTCAGCAGAATGACTGCTGGATCCTGGGATTCCTCCAGCTACATTCCTCACAGATGAGAAATTCCTCCCAGAAGAATTACAGTTCTGCATTAAGCAGCCAGCTATACTGCATGGGAGGAATTACAGAAAAGAGCGCTCAGGCACTGACTGCATCCCTGGTTCCTGTCTTCACTGAAAGCAGGGAAAGTTATTAAACTAGAGGAGACAGACTGTGATTCACAGCAATCAAGACCTGCCTGCAGCTGTGAATGCAGACAAGCTGGAGATTGTCTCTACAGCTCCTCTATGCGCCAGCACACACTCTCAATGCTCTGCTGCAGTACTGAGTGACAGCAAAGGGCCACCAAAGCAAAACAGAGAGAGATAAAACTCCCCAGCAGCCCCCACCAGAACCCCTGTAATGTTAGCTGTGCTAGGTCTGGAGGCTCCTTCCTAGTTTTTACTCTTTACTTGAATTAGAAGCCTCTTAAAGACATGCCAAATCCTCTCATTTCTTGTAGCTTCTCTGAAGCAAGGAAATAAGTGCATTGGGGAGATGAAACTTATGTACGCGCAGAGTACCCAAGGCTTTCCTGGCCCGGGCAACTCAGCCTGAAAGAGGAGACCCATGGGGCTGGGCTGAGAGAATGGAGCAGTTCGGAGTCTCCCTAGAGCTACAGGGCTCTAGGCGACACTTCCACTTTTCATCATAGTTTTTAAAAGAGGAAGAAAACAAGCTGCAGTTGGCCTCCAAGGAAGCAGAGATTCCCCAGGGGATCTAGTTCAGAGACAGCTGGTCTCCATGTAACCCAGGTGGCTGCTTCTGGATGGTATGAATACTCATCCCTGAAATCAGGCTCCGCTCAGTAGGAGGCAGCTCTGTAGGCTAAATTGCTAGTTAGAACCCATTTGCTTTGACAGCCTAGGCTGCCAAGCAATTCTGCACACCCAGTTACATGTATCCACATCCAAGGATCTACTCTCACCACCCTGCTGAGACCCTAACTGAGGCACGCCAAGTTCAACTGCTGTCAGAAGGCGCCCAAGACCTGACTTCCCCCAGCAAGTACCCAATTGTGTCCCTGGCCACGAATCAGCTTTGTCACTCCACCTCATACCACTATAAGGACCAGCTCCCATACTGTGCCCTGCACAACGGCCACAGACTTCTCCCCTCAAACCACATGCTAACCACAAACCTTTATGCTGGAATAACAATTGGATAAACTCTCAAGGGATGACTTGGATTAAAATTTCCAGCTTTAGAAACAGCAGGGTGAGGAGGAGTGGTCCAAACCCTCAGTTAAAAGAGGGGAAAGAAAACCTCCCTTCTCATACTGGAGCTGAAAAAAAGCAAGAGCAGAGAAGGCTGCTTCATTTTTCTTTTTCTGCCTGAGACTACCATGGTCACAGTCACAACCAGTTTGAGGAACGGGAAACCACTTTGTTTCTTCTGCAGCCCCCAAGACTAGCTGAATTTTCCAGGATAAATTTAGAGGACATGGCAACCAAGACAACATAGCAGTTGGCACTAATTGGCTCCCTAGATAATGGCTCTTGGTGGGAGCCAACAGAACTCCTACTGACAATCTTCACTTTAGTGTCTGAACTCAGACCCAGCCTCCCAGGTCCTCCACTAACCTGATGTCCTTGGAATTCTTATGCTAGTTTTTGGTAATACTGTAACAGTAAAACACACACACACATACACACACACAGAGTGGGATAATAGCTAATACAGACTGAGTGCCTGCTCTGTACTAAGTACTTTTCAAAGTATTTTGCATATATGATTTAATCTCATTTACTCATTAAAACAACCCATTTTATAGATTAAAAAGATGAACCATATAAAAGTTTTATAATTTGCCTAAGGTCACATAGCTAGTCAATAGTTGAACTTGTGCCTGGTGTGCAGCTGAGAAGCTAGGCTGAACACAAGGGCCTGAGTACCAGAGAAGAACTTTAGAGGACAAGTTTGTGATTCCATTATCTGGACCAACTTCACTTGGAAAGAACAATCCACGAGATTGCAGGCATAGTCAGCTTTCCAAAGTCTCTGCGTTGACCACCACCATGGACAGTGTTCTTTGGAATGAGTAAATCAGCTGAAGAATCAAGTCTGGCTCCTAGCACCCCAAAGAGCCTGCCTGAAGACTTAGAGGTAAGAAGCGCTGCAGAGGGGAGACATCTCCTGTGGCGCTAGACATGCCTCCACAGCAGGGCTTCTAGTACCAGAAATGGTCCCTCCAATGTTCCCGACTGAATGCGTAGAAGATGCCACCTTCCCAACAGGGGAAAAGTGGTCATCCCCGGGCACCATGGCTGGAGCTCTTGCTGGTTCTACCTGAGCAATGCAAAAGCAACACAACTCTAGGAGAGGGTAGCTGAATGCCAAGAGGGGAATGAAGGAAACCAGCATCAGCCCAGAGCAGTAAGACAGGCAAGGGCAGCACGCCGAGATGGTTTCTGTCTTGGAGCTCATTCCCTCCCTCTAAAACCACCCCATTTGGGATGCTTAAAACACTCCTCCTTTTAACAGCTTCACAACACCCGGAGATGGGAGCTTCCCGGGAGGGCCAACGGGCATCCCGGAGTCTCCGAGGGGCCCGAGCCTCAGCCGAGCCTCAGCCTCCTCCCGCCGCAGCCCTCACCCACCCGGTGTGCGGGGCCGCGCCGCTCACCTCGCTCATCGCGGCTGCGGGACCCGAGCACAGGTGAGGCGCGGGGTCCCCGGGGGCGCGTGGACAGCAGTCGGGAGTCGCGGGCTCCGAAGGTAGGACCTCGGCTGAGCAGAAGTAGCAAGTTGGTGCGCAGAGCTGCCGCTTGGCTGCCAGCACCTGCGGCGCTCAGCGCCCAGCGCCCAGCGCCCTGCTCCCAGCCTGGGAACCCTGCGACCCAGTCCTGGCCCTCGCACCTCTGGGGGGCTCCACCTTTTATAACCAGTGCGGTACCCACCTCACCGCTCAAACCCGGCCAACCGGAGCGCCTCCTACCGCAGAGTGACAGCCCCTCGGATCCAATGGTGGCAAGTTCGGAGGCCTGCTGCATTTCCAAACTAGGGTAAGACAGAGAGCGGGAAGGAGGGGGACCCTGTCGTCGGGGGATGAGAGGACAGAAAATGAAGTAGGGAGAGCGATGAAGAGGGGCCAAGAAGTGGTACGCGAGAAAGGCAAGGAGCGAGAGGGAAGGAAAGAGCGTATGAGTTTGAGAAAGAAGAAAAACTGGACGTGGAGAGGTACGTGGAAAGCAGGAACCGGTGAAAGAAAGGAGTTAAACCAAAATGTGGCAAATTAAGATTGAATGGCGAACCTCGTGGAGAGGGAGGGGGAGGAGAAAGAGAGACTGGAGCAAAAGCCAGCGCTTGGTCGCAAATAATAGGTAAATTTTGAACTGCCTATTTGATTTGGAAGATTGTGGAGTTTAGGAGCTGGTAGACACTTGGATTCATCAAATGCTTTTCCCCACCCGAGACAAAATAAAAGGTAAACTCTCCAATGGTGGTCCTCCAGGGTCCATTTGAATAGATAATGAGCTTCCCTAAAGCTAATTTACAACTGTGTTTTCATTCAAATTCAGTCCAATAGTGTGCCCTCCATTGTGCCACTGCCTTGAAGATTAAAAAAAAAAGACACAATTTTCACCTATTGTTACCACTGAAATATGCAAATCCAATCTCCCAGAGGCTAGCTTGCACCTTCCTGCAACCAGGGAACAATATATCCTTTGATGGGCTATGTTTGAGTCTCCCTGGTGTAGGTAGCAAAGGTAAAAACCCACAATCCAAGCCAATCTATATGGATTATTCTCCAATAAGGCAGAAGTTACTATGCTTATAATTTTTAAGAAAAAAGGTGTGATAAGGGAAGTAGAAAGCAAAGAGAATACCTAGGTAAATAAACTTCATGAACTTCCTGGTAAATTCAGTTAGTAGTCCAGTAACTTTCATTTCTGCTTTAAGAAAATCTTTTAAATTCTCATATCCCTACTACTTCTGGACATTGTAATTTTACTTACAGCTTCAGCCAGCCAAAGCTGAATATTTTTAGCTTTAGCAATTACGCGCTTTTGACGGTATTTTTCATGGCCTGTTAAAACAGTCATTAATAGCTGAGTTTGTCTCCCGCAGCAGTCACTGATGGCTTCCCAACAATCAGATTTAGGTAAGACTTCAAATAGCTTTTGCTCAAGCTAGATCCTCTGTTCAGTGCATTTCCTTTGCTAGGTTGGAAAGAGAGAAGATGGAAAAAAAGATCACCTCTTTTTTTCATCCACCTGAGATCTTCTGGCTCTCACTTTCCAATGGGATCTAGTTGCCTGAGTTAATAAATTTCCAACCAGGCTAGATTCCACTCACTCAGTGCAGCCTCCCTACTCAGACTTCTCCCACCTTTCTAATGAACAGCTAATTAACTTTAAAAAGATGTCTTTAGTGAAATAGACTTCCCATAGTTCTTTTTTTTTTTTTTTTTTGTCTTTTTCGTTTTTATCGGTACCAGGGATCGAACTCACGACTGCCTGCTTGCAAGGCAGGCGCTTATGCCGCTGAGCTAAATCCCCAGCCCCCTACTTCCCATAGTTCTTAAACATCTGTGAAAAGATTATAAAGAGAATTCAAGATCCTAGATCAGAGATCAAGTTTTTCCTATAAACAACCAAAAAACAAAATATTTTAGAATTTGAACCATATCTGCAATCTGTTAAGACTCAGACCTCCCATTTGTAACTTGAAAGTAGCTGTGGACAGCTTGTGAATATATAGGTGTGTCTGTGTTCTAATAACACTTTACTTGTGGGCACTGAAGTTTGAATTTCACATCATTTCATCTGTTACTAAATATTCATCTTTTAAATTTTTAATATAAAACCATTCTTAGCTCACAGGCAGCTGGCCAAATTTGATTCATAGGTCATAAATTGCAAGCTCCTGTCATAGATGATTAAACATCCAAGGATAAAAAAATAATAAATTATATGATAGTAAATAGTAGTAGGTCAAAGAAGAAGGACATCAGCTAGGACCAAAAGTCAAAAGCTTCCAGGGGAAAACAAGATTTAGGTTGCACTTTAAAGGGAAGGTAGAAACTTAATTAATTTTGTTTTTTAAAAATAAAAGGTAACAGCCAGGCATGGTGGCTCACACCTATAATCCCAGCACTTGGGAGGCTGAGGCAGGAGGATCATTGCAAGTTCGAGGCCAGCGTAGGCTACAAAGTGAGCTCAAGGCCAAGCTGAACTGCAGAGAGACCCTGTCTCGAAAAGACAAAAATAAATAAATAAAAAATAAAAGGTAAGATCGAATATAGACAGGAAAGAAAATAGATGTCTTTCTCTGGCTTCTGGGTGATTACAAGAGAAATGTAATGAAAGAAGACTCAGGGTTATGATTAAGAAGTTTTGGAACATATGGAAGGGCCTTGATATCAGAATAAAGAGCTTAAATTTAGTGGGCATGAGGGGCTGGGATTTAGCTCAGTGCCTGCCTTGCAAGCAGGCAGTCTTGAGTTCGATCCCCCGGTACCGGTAAAAACCGAAAAAGACAAAAAAAAAAAAAAAAAAAAAAATTTTAGTGGGCATGGTGGTAGAAGCCTGTAATCCCAGTTACTTAGGAGGTTCTGGTGGGAGTACTGTAATTGTAAAGCTAGCTTGGGCAATTTGGCAAGACCTTGTCTCCCAAGAAAGACCCTGTTTAAAAAAAAAGATGGAGACCTGGAGCTGTAGTTCAATGGTATAGTACCTGTAAGCGTTACCAGCCAGGGTGCTGGGGACTCTTTCTAGAGATCTTTTCTAGGTTCTTCTTGTTTTTAGTAAAAAATTGGGCAAAACAAGCAAAAAGTTAGTGAGGTTTTACATTTATTAAAGGTAGGGAAAAAAACATGCTGTGCAGAGTGAGTGCAGGTCAATTAAAAGTAAAAAAAAGAAGTGTGAGAGTAGTCCGTTGTGAGGAGAGAACCCAGCGGCCAATCTGAATGGCAGCCATCTTTTTATCTCCCCTTCTTCAGGCTAAGGTCAGGTGTAGGCCTCTATCAAAAACCTACTTTAGTTCTCATGAGAAGAACTGAAGATAGGGCTTTCTTTTTTTTTTTTTTTTTTAATTTTATTTAAGGAGAAAAGAAAAAAAAAAGCAGGGAAAGGGTACAAGTTATACAGATTTACAGAAAAAAAATGAACAGTAGGAAATCACTAGTTAATGGATTACATATTGTCATCTTAGAAATAATTGTTCAAGTCACAAAATTAAAGCTTGTAAAGTGGACATTCCATCAATGATACTGCAAACAGTTCTGTTCATTGATCCAATAAAACTCTGTGATATCATTTTCTATCTTATACACTTAAATATACATGCAGTTATATAGTTTAGAGTACTTTCTTTTCCTCTCTTTTGTACCATGACTATTACACATTTTGGGTTTCATTGCTCCCACGGTTCTTAATACTTTTTTGGAAGAGAGTAAAACCAAATGTGACATAACAGAACAGAATCGGTCAAGTCAAAAGGGTGGACATAATAGATAATGTAAAAACATAATACAGGTGATCAACAATGGTTACCATAATGTCTCCCGCTATCTCTAATAGAATTGCCTATATCATTAGTTATAATACAATTGAACAAAACAGTAAAGAATAAAACCGACAAAACCAAAACATTGGAGACATTGTAGGTCTTCAAAAGTAGCTAAAAGTCAACAAGAATGGGCGTCATAATGAATCTCATTATCTTCACAGCTGATGCCTAAACTTTCGAACCTGATACTATCCAGCAAAACAGAATAGGGGAACATCAGTTAAAAACCAGATGGTGAGAGTAATACAGGGCTTTAAATCAAGGTAATGAAAAGTCAAAATGGGTTACTATAATATATCCTGCTATTTTTTTCCTTTAATTAAAAGGATAAAGATAAAAAAGTAAATAATGGAGTGGAGATTGAGATAAAAGAGGGCATAACAACCAAACAGCGCAGATCAAAACATAACCATTTAAGCAGAATAGTGTTTCACCACCAGATAATCCTAACCTAAAAGTAGTTACCATATTGTTTCTTTCTTTGAAATCCTTGAGTACAACTTCGTATACTGTAGCATTAAGTATATCAAAACAATGTAAAACCATTCAAGAGAATGACAGCATTACAGAGTATTTAGAATCGACTAACAGAAAATGAACAATGGTTTCTGTATAATCTCCTTGTCTTTAAAAGGTTTTTGCTTATACTATCGTACATAATAAAATCCAATAAGATACAGCCTATTTAGACCATTGGAGACAGAAGGACAAAAGCTAGATGAGACTTCAAAACAAGATGATACTAAATCAGTATTACCTATTAAGATGTCATTTTCTCCAAAATAGCTGTTCCTATCATCCAATCTTCTCTGCCTCATTTCTGTTAAGCTCTTTTTCTGTCAGTAGCTGTCAGTTTGTCTTCTTCATTTTGTTCTCTGCTCCATTTGTTGTGGCCTCCCCGCCACTATTTCTGGGTTCTTTGTATTTTTCTTTTTTTAGAATATCCTGCAATACTTTCTGTAGAGTTGAATTGGTGGTTGCAAATTCCCCCAGTTCCTCTTTATCCTGGAAGCACCTTGTTTTTCCATCAATTTCCAGGGACAGTTGTGCAGGATATCTCAATCTTGGCTGGAGATTATTATCTTTCAATGCTTGAATTATTTCCCCCCACGCTCTTTGTGATTTGATGGTTTGTGCAGAGAAATCTGCTGTAATTCTGATGGGTGTTCCCTTGTAAGTGGTCTGTTTCTTGTCTCTTACAGCTTTTAATATTCTGTTCTTGTATTGAATTTCTGGAATTTTTATTATTATATGCCTGGGTGTTGCTCTGTTTGGGTTGTAGGTAGCTGGGGTCCTGTATGCCTCATACATCTGAGTATCTTTACCTTTTGCTAAATTAGGAAAATTCTCCTGGATTATTTCTGTGAGTAGCTTTTGTAGTTCACTTGTTTGCATCCCTACTTCTTCTTTTATGTTCTTAATCCTTAAGTTATGGATCCTCTTATCATCTTCTTGTCTTTGTATTATTGCTGTTTGTTTCTTTGTTATTTTTAAGAAGTTTTTCATTTCATTCTCCCATATTACAAATCTGCCCTCCAGTTCAGATAGTCTGTCCTTAGTTTCTTTCAAGCTGTTATGCCAGTCTTCGATAGACTTCTTAGTATCTTGGTAGTCCCTTTGAACCTGCTTCACGTATTCTATGCTTTCTCTGTTTTCTCCATCAAACA